GGCTTAGCCAATCAACGTGAGGGGTACTAAGATGGCTACGATAATTAGAATCGCACGTCACGATTCCAGCTAGACTGGTACGGATCTTAACTCAGCCAAGTATCTTTCGCTACACTAAAGTTATAGTTAGTGCAGCGTGTGGAACTCTCTGCCGCGGAGCAGTCTAAGCTGAATCGCCGATCCTTGTGTGGAAAATTTCCTTGAAAATCCCTCGAAGAGGGCCTCGTCGCGCCATCTATGGGACGCCATATGTACGAGAATAAATTCAGGGCATGAAACGGAAGAAATGCAAACTCGCTTTTCTAGACAAAAAGGAAACGCGCCGACCAGCAAACAAGCAATTACCAGCATTTGAATTTATTCTCGACCTACGTGCATAGTCGAAAGGCTTGTCGACTCGCCACAATTCCTTAATTGACCGATTATACGGCTTTATCCTGTACCCATAGGGCACTGGGGAATTGTTTTTTTCATATAGGGCAGCGAATAAGATTTATTGTCACCGCTGCGCGGTGTTTGCGTGCTTCGCGCGGATATCCGGGCTGCAGATCGTCGAGGCTCTGATATATAAATGGCTATAACTTTTTTTATTTTCAATAAAATTCGGCCAATCATTCAGCGATTACTAATCTCAGCGAGTTGGACATGGCTCGACCATAATATTACACTAAAACGATCACGTGACATATCTGGCACGAAATCGAGGCTCTGATGTATAAATGGCTATAACTTTTTTTATTTTCAATAAAATTCGGCCAAACATTCAGCGATTACTAACCTCAGTGAGTCGAACATGGCTAGATCATAATATTCCACTAAAACGATCACGTGACATATCTGGCACGAAATCGAGGCTCTGACATTATTATACATTGCCCCAATCCCCCGTCCAAGCTACCGAGTCCAAAGTTTCCAACATTCTAACATACCTATTACTCTTAGTTCCGATGATTACGTTTGGCTTCTAGCACGTTCATTGTCTAGGGAAAATAATCCTGTGACTCATAAAGAAGGAGAGTTGTGTCAAAGCAAGGTGCCTGTCTGGTCAGCCTATAATTTCCTCGTCAATAAAGCTCTTCCCATTACTCGAGTGGGATCCCCTCCTCTAGTAGTGCACACGACTGGAACACTCTTCTAACAGTACTGAAGCAGGCTCAGGCAATTAATGTTCAAGTAATTGGCCAAGAGCGGAAGACCGTTATTTCACTAGACATGGGCCTCTACATGCCGGCTAAGAAGTTGCAGATGGCTCGAGGTGACCTCAGCAACCTGATTCTTCACACTGGCTAGTTGCATATCGCCGTGGCCCAGTTGAAGACCATCGGCGCTTACATTGAAAGCAGCGGAATCGACATGGCTTGGATTGAATCTGACCTCTATAGCTCATCGACAGTTAGACAGATTGTTGAGGGTAACCATGTCAAAAGAGCTGAAACAGCAGACCTTATAACTTTGCAAGCCTTATTAAACTTTTACCAACAAGTCTTCCCGGAGCATGAAACAGGTGAAACCAAAGAGCATCTGACGCAGCTGGCGAGCCAGTTGGAGGAAGCTTGCACAAGCGGAGAGAGCAGAAATATAGCACAGGCGCGCAAGAACATGGCAGATGCTGTAGAAACATTGGATATCATGACAAAAATGTCAGAGTTCGATAAGAAGCAA